ATGCCAGCTTAGCTACCAAGGCTAAGTAAAAGATAAAATACAAAGGATAGGAAGGCTCACACTGTATCAGGTAGTATGAGTGCAAAGCACTACTTGCGCCAGCTGCAAAATGTCAAAGGACGTTACTCATCTCCTTCTTTGTCTTATACATTGTATGGGATGCTATATTTGCCGCTTGTATTATCTTGGCAAGTAAAAAACTCACTTGTATTATCTTGACAAATAAAAAACTTATGACGTACAAAATTTGACAAATCTGCTCATTATGGGACGAATTAGAAAAAGGATTATAAAAAGACCTCCTCACTCCATTAAAGATAATTCCTTTTGAGTCCATGTTCTCTCCTAGATTTCTTTTTCCCTCTCCAACATCTTCACTAGACCTTGCTTGACTTAAGCATTGGAGGGCGAATGCAAGAGAACCTTCAGTGCTCGTTCTAACGAATTGTTCCTTTTTGTTGTCTGTAGGTGATGCAGAAGTTTGAAAACCTCATCTAGCTATTCCAGGTAGTAAAATCAAGAATATCAACATACATTTTATCAAATAAAAAATTTGAATTTAGTGCTCTGTTAATGTAGATAATAATGTGCTTCGAAGCGGGCTCAGTGGGCCAAAATTCAATAGGCTGAGATGGGTTTGGTTTGGTAGAGGCTCCAGGTCTCCAACAGGAGAAGCAACCCAATTTCTCAGCCTTAAGTCCTTAACTAACCATCAGACTCTATACTTTTAATTTGGGTTAATGCTGTCCACAAATAATATCCATATCCTATAGCTCTTTCTTTTTTTTTTTTAATTGAAAATCATTCTTGTCAGACACAAGAAAGGAAAAAAAGTTTTATTTGGGGTGCTGCATTAGAGTGTGGTTATGCTACCCGCTTTAATGTTAAATTTATTTAATTTTGTTTAATGAAGAAAGAAAATATTATGATGTTTTAATATTAAAAATATTAAGATATTTAATTATAATTATTAAACATATACAACATAATATGAGTTCTAATATTATTAAATTTATCATGTGATTATTATTGAACATTTTAATTTTTTCTTTTTTCTTATTTAATTTGATTATGAAAAATAATTAATAACTGATAAAATGACTATAGATTAAAATTAATTTATAAATTGATATTTTAGACAATTATAACTAATTAACTATTTAAACAAACTATAAATTAATAAAATATCAATCAAATTAAATAATTTTTGTGTGATCTTCATAAAATGATAAGTCTTCATA